TAATGTGATTGGAAATCTGAAAGATGTTGACTAAAGGGGGTTCCTTTACAGAACCTCATTGTAGATAATTTCATCTTACTCCAAGAATTGATGAGACTTAAAGAGCACTATTCAAGAGTTATGATTTAATTGTAATCTAATTCACATTGCAAATGCAGTCTAATCAAATTCCCCATCTTTTGCCGTCTGAGAGAGAATGAGTTAAGTGCTTTTATTTGTGGTTGGAGAGGCTGAGCTCCTGGTGCAGGAGGAGGATCTGCTCTCCTTATTATAGCTCCTCAGAGCCTGCCAGCTTCACCAAAGTGATGTGCGTGTGACTTGGACAGTTTTCCTGCAAATGTGAAACACGTTAGACTCCCCTCAACTACTTTCACCCCAAGGGTGAAAAGTTGGCATGTCATTGTTTTCCTCTTCTAGCTTTTTAAATGGTTTAACTTATTTTTTCAATTTTTAAATACACTTATATAAGGTGAACAGATTTCATGCATTTCCTCTTCTAGCTTTATATTTGTTACCTATGGTTGCATTAAAATTCATCCCAAAATATAGCAGCCTTGACATCAAACATCTCAGTGTCTGTGAATGGGGCCCAAGGTTTCTCAAGGCCACATTCCAAGTGCTGGCTGCAGTCATGTCAAGGCTTCATTGGCGGAGACTCCTCTTGCAAATTCCCATAGCTTTGGTGAGATTCAGTTCTCTGCAGGCTATGGGGTGATAGCCTGTTGCATGTTAGCCTCTAGCTGTAAACCTGTCTCCTGTCACATAGACCTCTCCAAAAGTATCTTGGAACAGAACTGGCTCCATCAGGTCAGGAAGGCTCGAGTGAGAGAGGGCAAGGACAGAATCCAGTCTGTCACCTAATCTCAGAAGGGACATCTGCTACCTTTGCAGTATTCTGTTCCCAGGAAGCAGGTCCTCAGGTCCAGCTCACACTCAAGACAGCAGATACAAGAGTGTGAATACCAGTAGGCAGGGATCACCAGGAACCATCTCAGAAGCTCTCTTTGTACTGAAAGCTCATGGGGGCAGGCATTGACAACAGTTAAGACCCTGCTTGGGATGCCCACAACCCATATATCAGAGTATCTGGGTTTGAGTCCTGGTTCAACTTCTGACTCGTTTCCTGCCAGTGTGCACCCTGGGAGGCAGCAGGTGATGGCTCAAGTGGTTGGGTTCCTGCCATCCATATAGGAAATCTGAGTTGACTTTTTGGATCCTGGCTTAAGCTTGGCCCAGTCCTAGCTGTTGCAGGCATTTGGGAAGTGAACCAGCAGATGCAAAGAAGTGCGCTCTTGCAAATAAAATGAAAGTGGCTGCGCCGTGGCTCATAAGGCTAATCCTCTGCCTGCGGTGCCAGCACCCCGGGTTCTAGTCCTGGTTGAGGCGTTGGATTCTGTCCCGGTTGCTCCTCTTCCAGTCCAGCTCTCTGCTGTGGCCTGGGAAGGCAATGGAGGATGGCCCAAGTGCTTGGGCCCTGCACCCACATGGGAGACCAGGAGGAAGCACCTGGTTTCTGGCTTTGGATTGGCGCAGCGTGCTGGCCATAGCAACCATTTGGAGGGTGAACCAACGGAAGGAAGCCTTTCTCTAACACTGCTTGTCAAAAAAAAAAAAAAAAAAAGTAAAAAGTTTAAAAAAGTTGATGACTGAGGGAGACCGCCTTACCATCATGAACTTGAAAGACCTAGGCTGTGTGTGAACCAGTTGCAGCTAGTTTTGTATTCCTTGTGCTCATTTTCAGAGCTGCATTGTCTTATATACACACAGCAGAGTGATAAAATAACAGAAAGAACTTCACTATTCACATGATTTTTTTTTTGGCTCAAAATTTGTGAATATGTCTCTGGAACACCACTTAATGTAACAGGACAAGCTTATCAATGGAAGAATAAAACAAGATTTGAAAAGCCTGGCTCAATACCTGAATTTCTGATGAAAATTCTTTCTAGCAATCAGCAGCTACTCAAAACGTTTCAATAAATCATTTACCAGCTCAGAGGCTGAGTGGCATCAGATGTGGTGGAGCGTGACAAAGCCTGGATGGTGAGAGCACTTGTAAATAAGTGTTTCTTGATCCTAAATAGCACAGACAGAAAAATTGCTCTGCACCAATTTCTTTCTTCTTTTGCGCCCTGATCTGTGTCTGATTGTGAACTTGGGTGAGTTTCTGCCTGCCTTTGCTCTCTCTCAGTGCACACCTTTCTTGAGCTCTACTTACTGGTCTTCACTGCTCTGTTGCTGTGACCCATGCATTCTGTATTTCAAAAGGACAGCTTGTTCTGACAGCCTACTCTGCACACATCCTCACTGCTGCCTCAGTGATTGGATGCAGCAGACTGGATCCTGGAGGCAACCTAAGACAAATGCACATTTGTTTTTCTAGCTCATCTTTACTTGAAGATTAATTTGAAAACATAAATGGTTCTAGCTGTAATAGCTCCAGGTTGCTTTTTAAAAAATTTTTTTTGGAAAATAGTTTAATTTTTAATTAATTTTTAATAGTCAATGTGATTGGGGCTGGCGCTGTGGTGCAGCAGGTTAATGCCCTGGCCTGAACGCCAGCATCCTATATGTGCGCCGGTTTGAGTCCTGCCTGCTCCGCTTCCAATCCAGCTCTCTGCTATGGCCTGGGAAAGCAGTAGAAGATGGCCCAAGTCCTTGGGCCCCTGCACCTGCATGGGAGACCCGGAAGAAGCTCCTGGCTCCTGGCTTCGGATTGGCACAGCTCCAGCCGTTGTGGCCAACTGGGAGTGAACCATCAGATGGAAGACCTCTCTCTCTCTCTCTCTCTCTGCCTCTCCTCTCCCTGTAACACTGACTTTCAAATAAAAATAAAAAATCTTAAAAAAAGTCAATGTTGGCCTGCGCTGCGGCTCAATATGCTAATCCTCCGCCTGAGGCACTGGCACACCGGGTTCTAGTCCCGGTCGGGGCGCCAGATTCTGTCCCGGTTGCTCCTCTTCCAGTCCAGTTCTCTGCTGTGGCCCAGGAGTGCAGTGGAGGATGGCCCAGGTCCTTGGGCCCTGCACCTGTATGGGAGACCGGGAGAAGCACTGGCTCCTGGCTTCAGATCAGCGCAGTGAGCCAGCTGCAGCGTGTTGGCCGCAGCGGCCATTGGGGGGTGAACCAATGGAAAAAGGAAGACCTTTCTGACTGTCCACTCTAAAAAAAAAAAAAAAAGTCAATGTGATTTATAGATAAACTTCTAAGAACATAATCATATTCTCTTCCTCCCTTTTTCTTTTCTTAAAGATTTTATTTTTTGAAAGGCAGAGTTAGAGAGAGGGAGGAGCAGAGATCTTCCACTTACTGGTTCACTTCCCAAATGGTTACAATGGCCAGGGCTAGGCCAGACTGAAGCCAGCAGCCAGAGGCTTCTTCTAGGTCTACCACGTGAGAACATGGGCTCCAGCACTTGGACCATCTTCTGCTGCTTTCCTAGGCCATTAGCAGGGAGCTGGACTGGAAGTGGAGCCAGGGCTGATGCTGTGGCATAGCAGGTGAAGCTGCTACTTGCAGTGCTGGCTTCCCATAGAGGTGCCGGTTTAAGACCAGGCTGTTCCACTTACAATCCAGCTCTCTGCTGTGGCCTGGGAAGGCAGTGGAAGATGGCCCAAGCACTTGGGCCCCCACATCTGCATAAAAGACTGGGAAGACTTCTGGCTCCTGGCTTAGGATTGGCTCAGCTCTGCCATTTTGGCCAGTATGGGATGCCAGTGTTGAAGGTGGAGGCTTTATTCGTGCCATCACAAGACTGACCTGATTTTCTTTCCTTTTAAAGATTTATTTGAAAGGCAGAGTGATGGGGTATGTGTGTGTATGTACGTGAGAGATACCTTCAACCCGCTGGTTCATTTCTCAAATGCCCACAACAGTCAGGACTAGACCAGGCTAAAGCCAGGAGCCAGGAAATCCATCTGTGTCTCCTGCATCAGTAGCAGGGGCCTAAGTACTTGGGCCATTTTCCACTGCTTTCCAGGTACATTAGAAGGGAGTGCGACTGCAAGTGGTACAGCCAGGACTCTCCCTGGCACTCTGATATCGAATGCTGGTGTTGTAAATGGTGGCTTGACCTTCTGTGCCACAATGCTAGCCCCCACACTGCTTTTTAAATAAGATCATAATTATGAAGCTTAGTGGATAGGAAATGCTGAAGCTTGCCCTGGAAAAAAAATTATAGGTTCTGTTGCTACAAGTGACTTAAATTCTTTGTCACTGCTAATGACTTATTGAGGCAAGGGAATCAAAACACAAGTTTTTATTTCCAGTTCAAGGGTTAAGATTCTTATGGTGGGGCCGGCGCCACAGCTCACTAGGCTAATCCTCCGCCTTGTGGTGCCAGCACACCGGATTCTGTCCTGGTTGCCCCTCTTCCAGGCCAGCTCTCTGCTGTGGCCAGGGAGTGCAGTGGAGGATGGCCCGAGTACTTGGGCCCTGCACCCCATGGGAGACCAGAAGTACCTGGCTCCTGCCATCGGATCAGCGCGGTGCGCTGGCCGCAGCGCGCAGGCCGCGGCGGCCATTGGAGGGTGAACCAATGGCAAAGGAAGACCTTTCTCTCTCTCTCTCTCACTGTCCACTCTGCCTGTCAAAAAAAAAAAAAAAAAAAAAAAAGTCTATTGCTTTTTAAAGGGTTTACTCTAGATGGCATATAAACATGCACCCTCATCATCACTTCTTGGGCTTTTGCAGCTATTAAAGCCAATCACAGAAACACATAGAAAAGTTAGTAAAACAGAAAATTTAGAGCTTTAAATTGCTACTAGGAGTACATAAAATTTCGATAACTCATTTTGCAGGAAGTAAAAGATACCCTTTAAGATATTATCTGTCCCAGGTCAACTTGTCATTTATAGTGGCTAAGAACTCAAATCATTCTCTAAAACTCAAGAGACATAGCACATAAATGTTTAATTTCTATAATATACATTGTTTCATTTAGATTTTGAAAAGATCACAAAAGCAAAAACACCGAAGCTGTGTCTAGTAACAAGCCTATGTATTGTTAACAAACAGTGTTTATTAAGAATTCACAATAATTGTCTTACAGAATTTGCAGGTGCCAAGGAATCATGGCAACAAAATTACAGAACAACATGGTGTTACATATATAAACAAAAAGGGTGAAATATAACGCTCTGGGGAAAAAACCCATTATAGAATAAATTACATTTTAAATCAGAATGACAAGCTTAAATGGAACATCTGGATTGTTGAGAGCTGCTTGACTTTTAAAACTTACAGCCAGCAAAAGCAGGGTGACAGCCTAAAACCAAGGAAAAAGCACTCGGGCAGGACTTCTGAGACATGGTACTCACTTGGATTCTTCGGGTTCCAATCTTCTCAACCCTTTTAAAGTTGCACCAAATTATCTTTCTTGAATCTTTAGAAACACTCAAAAGTCGAACTTTCTTCTGGGTCTCGAGTGTGATTCAAGGCGTATTTTTACTATGTTCAATAGAACAGATACCACTTTGCACTGACAGCATCGTCTCCTTTGAGAATGACTCCTGGAACTGCAGTGAGGTTTTTTCCAGCCTGTCTCACCAGTTGACACAATCCTGAAGCAAACATGCATCCTCCTCATTAGATACAAAAATGTTCAGAGGCATGTAAGGAAGTTCTTTTAATGCTGAATAATTATATGAAATGACACTGACAGATGAGCTGTTAAATCAAAGGAGTCTTTTAAATCTGTGAAAAACTTTGTTGAAATTTTATTCTACCTCCTTTCCTGAATAAAGGAATATCTCAGTATATCCCGACATATTTCAGATGTTGCAAAATGTTAAAATTTTGAGTTAAATTTGGGATAGATGATGACAATATCATGGAAGTGAATTTAACTCTGTCCCTGAATTGAAATTATTTACCTCTTCCAGATTTACATTTTGTTAATGAGTCTTCAGAAAGTTCATGAAAAATGTGTTATAAAAAAACTGTGCATGGGTTCAAAAAATTTCTGCACCAAAATACACTTGCCTTTGGATTTCATTTTGCCACAAACTTTCTGAAGTATCCTCGTGCTTACCACTGGGGTCGTGTAAGAGGCTGTAACTTCAACAAGATGGCTAAATTTCATGTCTTCCATTACTAAAATTTATGGCTTTCTCTTTAAACAATCTGTAAAGTAGTCCCACTAAACTCAGAGATGAAAGATTATATCTGCAGCAGTCAGATTCTGGCAGTAACTCCTGAAATTTGATAGCTCTGTTCTCTTTCCCTATACCCCACAGCAAGTGTGGCTAAGAAACAACGGAGACCTAACACCCATCCATGGCTCCATGGAGTCAAAACCCATGGCAGTCTAGGGCTGGCTTAGCTGGTCATCGTCTAGTCCTTTACTTCCTTCCCTGCAAAAAGACACATCAGAAACCAATGCTCCCAAACTTAGCTGCGCCTTTGTTGGGTTAAGATTTACCTTTATGTCCAAATTCTGCTTCTTTTTAAAATTCTGGGGCCACGCTGTCCTGTATAAAGAGCATTATGTCTTAGAGAAAAGTAGCCTTTGCTGCCAAGTTTGGGTTTTCTATGGTAAGAGGGAGAAACTGACAGAAAATTTAGAACCAAATTTACTATCCAAATTTCCCTTGGGAAACCATGTATTTCTGTGCTATCTGAATGTTAAAGTGTCTTCTTTAAAGGCTCTGTGTTTTGTAGGCTTTTTCAAGCCCTTTTAAAGAAAGCAGAATACAAACTGAGAAATAAAAATATGGTGACAAGTGACTAGATAATGTAGTTAAGCATACTGCATTATTTTCTACTATAACCTATAGGTTATGATGGGTCTAACAGCTTTTATGGATATAATTTTACATATAAAATAAGCTAATTTCCCTTTCATTACTTTGAGGAATGAGACCACAGTTGTATTATTTACTATGCAGTTCCAATGCTGCCTCATATAAGTAATCTACAAAAGTGTCCATTCAGCATAGTTACTGAAAAAACTAAACTATCCAATGTCTCTTGTATTAGCTCTTTGAAAAATATTACTTTGTTTGCCTTTCCAAATTGTATTTTTAAAACAGGAAATTAAATCATAAATGCACCATGTGTAGATTCCTCATCTCCTGGATATTTACTTTTTTAAAAATAAAACATGTGACAAAAGAAACACATTTTGAGGCAGTATTTATATGTGTATATATTTAAGGTCACAGTTTTCACTAATCTAAGAGAACATATCTATATAATATTTAAAATGAAATCCAGTGAAACTCCAACTTCTCATTTGAGAATTTACTATAAAAATATTAAAACGAGAATTTCTCTCTTTTAAATGGTACTTGTATCTGTTATAATTTGGCAAATGGATCCCTTTCCATATTTTTTTAGATCCAAAATATACATGACTGAAGGACCATGTAACAATGTATGTGATCTGTGTAGTGACATGAAGCAATAAATATCACACAGTGAAGAATTTATCACAAACTAAATATAGTAACAAAAGAAAAAGCTTATGTACACATTACCAAGTTCTTTACAACAAATTATAGTGTATAGTTCCATCGCAGCATATTTGTACACAAAGCTTCTAATGTGAACACTGAACAAAATCTGTAGTGTAGATCTTTAATTTTGATTTAATAAAGTTTGTCCAGTATCAAATAATATCAAAAGTCTAAAAAAAAATGAGTTTTTATATCATGTTTATAAATTATTGTTTCATATACCATAAAAAACATAAGGTCAAAAGTGCAGTTTAAAAAAAAGGGGAAGTTGTTATTTTTGCTAAGAGCTAGAAAAATGTACTGTCCCATGTAAGAGGTGATCTAAAAGCTTACAGTTGCTTAGGAATTTCCCTGTAACTCATAAAACTTGGTTCGCATTTGTTCTAAGATAAACCAACACAGAGCGTTAAATAATCTTTCATAAAAATAAGAAGGTAAGAATCAATGCATATGTAACTGCAGACCTCCCCCAAAGTGAATTCACTCTGTGTACTGGAATGAATGGGCCATCACTGAATGTGACCAAATTTGGGAAATTCCAAAGGCTAACTAGAAGTTGTTATCTTCCTCAAATTCTTAGTCATAACTGGTAATGGTAATGGCATATACCCAGGGTTATGAAATCTTCTAGTGTAACTAACACAAAATATGATTTAAAGGTGATAAATCACATCATCTACTACTTCTCACAGAAAATAAGGACTAAGCATCCAGTAACAAAAACGCAGAAGTAGAGAAATTAGTCAAGAAACAGATGGATGAAACACAACTCTGGGTCTTAATTGGCACTTATCATGGTAACTAGCTGTTTTCGACACATTTACAGAACAAAAGCCTATGCTGAAGTATGTGGTACACGAACCACTTATTTTTATATAAGAAACTCAAAGGGTAAAATTGTAGGTTCATAAAACAATCAAGGTTAGAGAAAAAATATGTAAAAGAAAATCTTATTTTTAAGTTTATGGTGGGACCAAAATATTGACAGAGCGGTTATCAGTCAAGAGCAGTACGCCTTTTGCTAAAACTAGGAGGCAGCCTGAGCCTGGCTCAACACAACCACTCCCCTCTTCAAGTGCCATCTCACCGGTGGTGCTCGGTTTATATGACATCAAGCAGCAGCATATTACTTTTTCCACTGCATACAGTAAGCTCCTTTGTTGATTTAACATGTATAGACTGCCTGAGATAATAAAGATGTCATCATTACAACAGGTTAATAGCAGATGAAGGTCATCCTTAGTTTTGACAGGGGAAGGGACTGGCTGCCAGAAATAGCATGGGTATTGTGTAGAATGTATACTCATGTAGTTAGTAACCCACGTGTCACCTTGAGTGGAATATTAAAAGTCGATGGATATGGATGCTTGTGCAGAATCTTCTCGTCCCCTGACATAAATTTCACAGGGAATCTCCTCCATCACTCTGTCTTCTAGGGCCTGTTCAGGGCACTCATGTGCCTGTTTGAAAGTGTAGCTACTTTTTTTGAAGGTGCTATTAAATGTTTTCATTGGCTGTGGTTGTGCAAAATCATTTCGGAAAGGAAGTTCCATGGAGCTGAGGTTGGTCCTGCTTTGTTTGACACTGGATGCCTGCGATCCACAGTGATGGTCGTGAATGCAGCGGGAGGCAGTGGAGGAACGCCGCATCTTCTGGTAGTTGTCTAGCTCTTCTGACAAGTCTGCCAGGTCTGCAGAAATTTCTTTGTCCCTTAGTGAGAACAGTTCATAATGGGGAGGATCAAACACTTCCTGGAACCCTGTTTTATTAAAAGCAGTTTTGCAAGTCATGACCTTTTTTCGAGGCTGCTTCACTTGTACTAAAATAGAAATAATGAGAAGGACCAAGACAATCCCTGATGTAATGCCAATAATTGTTCCATGGGTTTTAGTGATTTGTTCAAATACTCCTGCTTTTTTCTTTTCTGTAGAAACAGAAACAAGGTTTTCAAAATTTGTTAATATGAGACTCAGCACATACTGGTAAGGAAATTTTAGGTAAAGCAAAACACCTGGGTTAAATACAGCACAGGCAATCTATTTTAAAAACAGGTATTTAAACAAGTTAAGAAAATCCTAATACAATGATTTCAGGTTAAAGTAGTCACAATGCAGCTTGAAAGATTATAGAAAAGATAAAGTATTTGGTTGGTTCCTTGAGACAGTACTTGGTTCTTTTACTTAGAGGGTATGAAAGGCAAACAATTTGCAAATCAAATGCATTAATATAGAAAACGATAAAATAAATAGCTTAGCTTTCTGCTCTATGGTAGGTTTCATCAATTGCCGTGCTCAAGAATATCCATAGGGGCCAGTGCTGTGGGGTGTAGTGGGTAAAGCCACCACCTGCAATGCTGACATCCCATATGGACTCCAGTTTGAGAGTCCCAGCTGCTCCACTTTGAATCTAGCTCCTTGCTAATGGCCTGGGAAAGAAGCAGAGGATGGCCCAAGTGCTTGGGCTCTTAATATCCATGGGGGAGACCTTGAAGAAGCTCCTGGCTCCTGGTTTTGGATCAGCCTGGCTCCAGACGTTGCAGCCATTTGGTGAGTGAACCAGTGGATGGAAGACCTCTCTCACTGTCTCTCCCTCTCTCTGCCTCTCAAGTACATAAACACATCTTTTTTGAGAGAAAGAAAGAGAGAGAGAGATTGATTGATTGATTTTTCATCTGCTGGTTCACTCCCCAAATGGCCACGATGGTCAGGGTTGGGCTAGGTAGAAGCCAGGAGCTTCTGGGTCTCCTATGTGGGTGCAGTGGCCCAAGCACTTGGGCCATCTTCTGTTGCTTTCCCAGGGAACTGAATCAGAAGTGGAACAGTCGGGACTAGAACCAGTACCCATATGAAATGCCAGTGCTGCAGGTGGAGATTTAATTTAATATGCCACAGTGCAAGCCCCATAAATACATCTTTTAAAAAACAGAAAAAAAAAGAATATCCACGATATTTCTAAAGATGACAATAGGAAAAGAACCAACTTGATCAGCCACTCTCAGCCACTTGTATTTCTTGGTCTACTATTTGAACCTGAGAATACATCATGCCAAGTACTAAGACAGCCACATCACATTATATCACCTTGTCATGTATGATATTTATTAGGCTACTGAGAGACAAAACTTTAGTCTGAGGCAGTGTTTTGACGACTATCTTGCAGAGAGACATTCAACTATTACCACAAGCCATCATTATTTTTCAGAGAGTACACACTGGAACTGTAGCATGGGAAATTCTACATAATTAAAAAAAAAAAGTTTTTAGAATGTGTCTGTTTTTAAGGTGTAAGAATGACTCTAGAGCCGGTGCTGTGGCTTACTAGGCTAATCCTCCACCTTGCGGCGCCGGCACACCGGGTTCTAGTCCCAGTCAGGGCGCCGGATTCTGTCCCGGTTGCCCCTCTTTCCAGGCCAGCTCTCTGATATGGCCATGGAGTGCAGTGGAGGATGGCCCAAGTCCTTGGGCCCTGCACCCCATGGGAGACTAGGAGAAGCACCTGGCTCCTGCCATCGGATCAGTGCGGTGCGCCAGCTGCAGCGCGCCGACCGCGGCGGCCATTGGAGGGTGAACCAACGGCAAAAGGAAGACCTTTCTCTCTATCCACTCTGCCTGTCAAAAAAAAAAAAAAAAAAAGAATGACTCTAGCAACTTATTTTTTTATTAAACAGTGTTTCCACATAACTGAAAAAAAGAAAAATAACTAGGCTACCCCTTCTAAATTATCTAGACAACTAAATAAGCTACATTTAGAATACAAATGACAAAAAAATAAAATACCTTGAAATAAATTTAACCAAGCATGTCAAAGACCTCTACAATGAAAATTACAAAGCATTAAAGAAAGAAATAAGACATAAAAAATGGAAAAATCTTCTATATTCATGGATTGGAAGAATCAATGTCATCAAAATGTACATACTACTGAAAGCAATTAATAGATTCAATGTGATTTCAATCAAAATTTCAAGGACATTCATCTCAGATCTATAAAAAATGATGCTGAAATTCATATGGAAACACAGGAGACCCCAAATAGCTAAAGCAATCTTATACAACAAAAACAAACTTGGAGCCACCATAATACCAGATTTCAAGACATCCTACAGGGGCCGGCACTGTGGCAGAGTGGGTAAAGCCTATGCATGTGGTGCCAACATCCCTATGGGTGCTGGTTTGAGTCCTGGCTGCCCCTCTTCAGATTCAGCTCCTTGCTGATGGCCCGGGAAAGCAGTAGAAGATGGCCAAAGTCCTTGGGCCCTTGCACCTGTATGGGAGACCCAGAAGAAACCCTTGGCTTTGGAATGACCAAGTTCTGGCCGTTGAGGACATTTAGGGAGTGAACCAGCAGATGGAAGACTTCAAGTCCTAAATCTGTGACCCAATACCATCAGAGAACATTGGGGAAACCCTGCAAAACACTGGCATAGGCAAAGACTTCTTGGAAAAGACTCTAGAAGCACAGCACAGGCAATTAAAGCCAAAACTGAAAAATGGGATTACATCAAGCTAACAAGCTTTTGCACCATAAAAGAAACACTCAACAATGTGAAGATGCAATCAACTGAATGGAAGAAATTACTTGCAAACTATGAAACTAATAAAGGATTAATAGCCAAAATCTATAAGAAGCTCAAGAAACTCAAGAACAAAACAAATAATCCAATTAAGAAATGGGCAAAGGACTTGAACAGACATTTTATCAAGAGAAGAAATTCAAATGGCCAATAGACACATGAAAAAATGCTAGGATTACTAGCCATTAGAGAAGTGCAAATAAAAACCACAATGAGGTTTCACCTCACCCCAGTTAGAAAGGCTTTCTTACAGAAATCAACAAACAACAAATGCTGGCAAGGATGTGGGGGAAAAGGTACCCTAATCCACTGTTGGTTGGAATGTAAACTGGTACAGCCACTGTGGAAGACAGTATGGAGATACCTCAGAAATCTGAATATAGACTTACCACATGACCCAACCATCCCACTCCTGGGAATTTACACAAGAGAAATGGAATGAGCAAATGAAAGTTATCTGTAGCCTTATGTTTACTGCAGCTCAATTCATAATAGCTAAGATATAGATCAACCCAGCTGTCCATAAGCTGAAGACTGCATAAAGAAAAGACAGAGATAACTTCCGCTTCTGAAGGGCAGCAGAGGTGAATGCACTTCCGGCAACAGTGGTTTGAGTGGCTGAGTCAAGATGGGTCAAAGTCAGAGTGGTGTTCATGGGCCTGGAGGTAGCAAGAAGGATGACAAGGACAAAACAAACAAACAAACAAAAAAGAAATACGAACCTCCTGTACCAACCAGAGTGGGGAAAAAGAAGAAAACAAAGGGACCAGATGCTGCAGGCAACCTGCCACTGGTGAGATCTCAGTGCTGGCTAAAATTCTTGCATTTAGAATTAAAGACCATCTTCTCATGGAGGAAGAATTCATTAGAATCAGGAACAAATGAAACCATTAGAAGAAAAGCAGGAGAGGCTGGCGCCGCAGCTCACTAGGCTAATCCTCTGCCTGTGGCGCCGGCACACCAGGTTCTAGTCCCGGTCGGGGCGCTGGATTCTGTCTCGGTTGCCCCTCTTCCAGGCCAGCTCTCTGCTGTGGCCAGGGAGTGCAGTGGAGGATGGCCCAAGTGCTTGGGCCCTGCACCCGCATGGGAGACCAGGAGAAGCACCTGGCTCCTGGCTTCGGATCAGCGCGGTGCGCTGGCTGCAGCGGCCATTGGAGGGTGAACCAACGGTAAAGGAAGACCTTTCTCTCTGTCTCTCTCTCTCACTGTCCACTCTGCCTGTCCAAAAAAAAAAAAGAAGAAAAGTAGGAGAAAAGATCAAAGATAGATGACCTGAGAAGGACCCCAATGTTGGTAGGAACCCTGGAAGACATTATGGATGACAACCACGCCATCGTGTCGACATGTGTGGGGTCAGAACTTGTCAGCATCCTTTCCTTTGTGGACAAAGATCTGCTGGAACCAGGCTGCTTGGTCCTGCTCAACCAGGAGGTGCATGCTGTGACAGGGGTGCTGATGGATGACACAGATCCACTGGTCACAGTGAAGAAGGTGGAAAAGGGACCTCAGGAGACCTATGCTGACCAAATCCAGGAAATTAAGGAATCTGTGGAGCTTCTTCTAACCCACCCAGAATATTACAAAGATATGGGAATAAACGCACCCAAGGGAGTCATTCTTTATGGTCCACTTGGCACAGATAAAATCTTGTTGGCCATAGCAGTGGCAAACCAAACCCCGGCTACTTTGTTTAGAGTAGTTGGCTCTGAACTTATTCAGAAGTAGCTAGGTGATAGGCCCAAGATCATATAGGAATTGTTTTGCGTTGCTGAAGAACATGCACCATCCATTTTGTGTTTATTGATGAAATTGATGCTCCTGGGACAAAAAGATATGACTCAAATTCTGGCAGTGAGAGAGAAATTCAGAGAACAATGCTGGAACTGTTGAACCAGCTGGATGGATCTGATTCAAGAGGAGATGTGAAAGTTATTATGGCCGCAAACCAAACAGAAACTTTGGATCCAGCACTTATCTGAACAGGCCGCATTGACAGGAAGATTGCGTTCCCACTGCCTGATGAAAAGACTAAGAAGGGCATCTTTCAGATTCACACAAGCAGGATGATGCTGCCAATGATGTAAATCTGGAGGACTTGATCATGGCTAAAGATGACCTCTCCAGTGCTGACATCAAGGCAATCTGCACAGAAGCTGTCTGATGGCCTTGAGAGAACGCAGAATGAAAGTAACAAATGACTAGTGCTGTGGCATAGCAGGTAAGGCTGCCATTTGCAGTGCTGGCATCCCATACGGGTGCTGGTTTGAGACCTGGCTGCTCCACTTCTAATCCAGCTCTCTGCTATGGCCTGGGAAAGCAGATGGCCTAAATCCTGGGGCCCCTGCAACTTCGTGGGAGACCCAGAAGAAGCTCCTGGCTCCTGCCTTCAGATAGGCCCAGCTCTAGCCATTGAGGCCATCTGGGGAGTGAACCAGCAAATGGAAGACTTCTCTCTCTCTCTGTAAAACCTCTCTCTCTTTGTCTCTCTGTAACTCTGCCTTTCAATAAATAAATCTTTAAAAAAAATAAAGAAAGTAACAAATGAAGACTTCAAAAACTCTAAAGAGAATGTTCTTTATAAAAAATAAGAAGGCAACCCCGAGGGGCTCTCTCTCTAGCAGACCACAGCCATTTTGAGAATGGCTGGAGTCTTCCCTACCCTCAAGAGAGGTACAGATGGGGAAGCTGCCTGGAGGGAACCATGTTCCAGCTGATTTTTATTAGCAAACATCCTGTGTATCTTTCTGAGTGTGAGATGTCCTTTGGTCACTGCTCACTCTGTATCCCAATAAAGTGTGCTCTTAAAAAAAGAAATCATTGACTATTACACACATAGCAGTAAAAAAAAGAAAAAAGAAAAAAAAAATCCTATCGTTTGCCACAAAATGGATGCAACTGGAAACCATTATACTAAGTGAAATAAGCTGGTCCCAAAAAGAAAAATATAATGTTCTCCCTGATCTGTGGGAACTAATAAGAGTACCAAAAATGTAATCTATATAAGTGAAATTGACATTTTGAGATGCAATGATTTTCAACAGCCCTTGTGTCTCAACTGTTGAGGAATAGTTTTTTTTTCATAGTATTTGTTGAACTCTTTACTTAGTGTAGGGTTAATCTTATATGTATAAAGTTAATTAAAAGTAGATTTTTGTAAAAAAATAAGAAGGGAATAGGAGAGGAAAGAGGAAGAAGGGTGGGAATGTGGGCGGGAAGGAGAGAGGGTAGTGTGGGAAGAGTCACTATGTTCCTAAATTTGTATACATGAAATGTATGAAGTTTGTATACCTTAAATAAGAGGTTTCTAGGTAAAGAAAAAAAGGAAAAGAAAATAAAGCCCGAAAATATGACATACTTCTAACAACTTAAAAAAGTTTGCAAACAGGGCCAGCAATGGGCATAGTGTGATAAAATCCTGGGCCTGCAGTGCTGGCATCCCATATGGGCACTGGCTGGAGTCCTGGCTGCTCTACTTGCAATTCTCTCCCTGCTAATGTGCCTGGGAAATCAGCAGAGGATGGCCAAGTCTTTGATCCCTTGCACCCACGTGGGAGACCTGGAAGAAGCTCCTGGCTCCTGGCTTCAGATCAGCTCAACTACAGCTTTTACAGCCATCTGAGTGAACCAGCGGATGGAAGACCTCTCTCTGTCTCTATATCTCTGTGTAAATCTTTCAACTAAATAAAATAAATTGGAAAAAAAAAGTTTGCTAACTGGGCTGGTGCTGTGGTGCTGTAGGCTAAGCCTCTACCTGTGGTGCTAGTATCCCATTTGGGCACCAGTTCAAGTCCTGGCTGTGCCTCTTCCAATCCAGCTCTCTGCTAATGGCCTGGGAAAGCAGAGGAAGATGGCTCAAGTGCTTGGGCCCCTGCACCTGCATGGGAGACCCAGAAGAACGTCCTGGTTCCTGGCTTCATATTGGCTCTCTGGCTTCTGCAGCCATTTGGGGAGTGAACCAGCTAAAAGAAGACCTTTCTCTCTGTCTCTCCCTCTGTCTGTAATTCTACCTCTCAAACAAATAAAATCCTTAAAAAATTTTTGCAAACAAAAACATGTTTTTGTTCAGATTAAGTATTTCTCTTTGCTTGCACCGTATCAGAGAAGTCTGGAATCCACTGAAAAAAACACTTACACATCTCCTTTGCTGCTAGTCAGCTACGCTAAGCATGATTTTTAAAAATGACATTGAAAGTGTTTCTTAATAAAAAGCAAGTTATTCTTTTCTCAAAAATAGGTTGGTTTTTGCATCAGACTCACCTTTACAATGGTTTTCATCCCAAGGGTATGCACAGTTTTGAATACCATTACACACTAAGGAATTATTGATGCACATGTTGCTATGGCAAAAAAATGTGCTGCCTGTGCAGGGAGCTGTAGAAAAAAGAAAATTATGTTGCTAAGAACAGACATAAAGATTATGAACATGTCTTATTTTACTCTTAAGAATCTGGCTTTGTTTGAGTGCTTATCTCAAAGACCTTCCCATGAATATGAACTGTACTACACAGATAATGTGATAAAGGCTAATATTTTCTGATACAGATTCATTCAATCTTTTTCTAATGCCGGGTACCAAAATGTTGTTTTAATGTAATGATGCTATGAATGTATATTCTTATGGTTCTTATGGATCTAGTATAGTCTGGTGAACTTTTTAAAAACTTTAAGAGAAATGTTGATGAAGATGCAGAAACATTGGAATTCTGCATGCACTGCTGGACAAATGGATACTCTGGTGTCTGTAGTTCCTCCACAAGTTACACAGAATCCTGTATGACCCAGTAATTCCAGTTTTAGGTACACACCCTCAAAGAACTGAAAGCAGGATGGAACTACATTCCTTACCTTGTCCTCTCCCCACCCCAATCATATTTAATATTCCTGTTTACAGAAAACATCCAAATGTCACAGGGGTTTCTTTTTCTTTCTTTATTTAATCCTCTTTTTACTAACTGCCACAAATAAGAGAAAATGTGGTATTTCTCTTTCTGGGTCTGGCTTGATTCACTTAGCATAATGATTGCCAGATCCACTAATTTCCATGTCTTGTACTGAACCAATCTCACATTCCTCTGCTCCCTACTATGCAGTCAGTGGGATGATAAGGAGGTGGCCTCTGACCCCTTCAGGAACTGCATCTTGTCCAGCCTTGGGAAAACTGTCATCCTTGGTCCTTCTCCTTTGGGCCTTCATTCCCTGACATGTTGTTTGGTACAGCACCTCCAGGAAACAGAACTGTTAAATGAAAGAGTTGTCTGTACCCTTATGTTTATATCAGCTCAATTCACAACAGCTAAGATATGGAATCAACCCAGATGTCCATCCACTGAAGACTGTATAAAGAAACTGTGGTATATACATATACCATGGAATACTACTCAGCTATAAAAAATGAAATCCTGTCTTTTGCAACAAAATGGATACAACCAGAAGACCATTATGCTTAGTGAAATATGCCAATCTCCAAAAGACAAATGTTTTCCCTGATTTGTGGTAACTAATACACAGAGCACAAAAAAGTTAATATATGAGTGAAATTGACATTTTGAGATTTAATTATTATTTATAACCCTTATTTATAATCTGACAGAACAGTGATTTTTCTACTTATTACTTATTGAATTCTGTATTTAGTGGAGGGTTAAGTGTGTGATTAAAGAAAATTGAAAGTATGTCATTGCAAAAATTGAAAGAAAATTAAGAGGAGGCGGAGGAGGGAAGGTAGTCCAAAGGAAGGGAGGAAGGGTAGGATGGGAAGTATCATTATGCTCTTAAAACTGTCTATATGAAATATACAAATCTGTTCCCTCTATATAAATTAAAAAATTAAACACCATTAAAAGCAGTAACTCAGACACTTGCATATGAATGTTCCCAGCAACATTATTCACAATTGCCAAAAGGTGAAAACAATTTAAGTGCCCACTGACAGATGTATGAATAAACAAAATATGGTATATATAAGAAAATGGAATAGTACCCATAGAGAAATAAAATCCAGATATACACTATAACATAAATGTTTGAAACATGCTAAGTGAAATGAGCCAAATATTTCATTTAGCCTAATGCTTGATTATGTATTAAATTACTGCAAGACGAATATATGAGTCTACTTATATGAAGTACCTATAGGAGGCAAATTCATAGAAATATAAAGGAGAAGAGAAGTTAATAAGGACTTGGACAAAGGGAAATGGGGAGTTAGTGATTAATGGTACAAAGTCAGTTTGATAAGATGAAAGAATTCTGCAGATGGATAGTATGGATGCATTTAACGTGGCTGAACTAACTGTACACACAAAAATGGATAAAATGGCACATTTTGTTATGTATATTTTACCACAGCAAGCAAGCCAAAAAATCTATTCTTTTATATTACAAAACATATTCTAAAAATACTTGAAAGGCGGAGAGAGGGAGAGAGGGAGAGGGAGGAGGAGGAGAGAGGAAGAGTAGAAATAGGGAAAGAGGGAGGGGGAAGGAGAGAGGAGAGAAAGGGAGGGGGGAGAGGGAGAAAGCGAGAGAAGAGGGAGGGAGGGGGGAGAGGGAGGGGGGAAAGAGAGGGTGAAAGGGAGAGAGAGGGATAGAGAGAGAGAGAGGGAGAGAGAGAGAGGGATAGAGAGAGAGGGAGAGAGAGAGGGAGAGAGGAAGGAAGAGGAAGAGAGAGAGAGAGAGAGAGAGAGAGAGAGAATATCTATCTCTTGGCTTATTCCCCAAATGCCCACCATGTGCAGGGCTGGACCAGGGTGAAGCAGGGAGCTGGGAACTTAATCCTGGTCTCCTACGTGGGTGGCAGGAACCTAAGCACTTCTTCTATCATCTGTTACCTCTCAGGTGGGCAGTAAAAAGAAGCTGGAATTGGGAGTGGAGTCAGGCCTCAAACCTAGGCACTTCAAAATGGTATGTGGGTATCCCAAACAGGATTTTAACTCCTGCACCAAATATTTTTAAAGACATTAAAATATACTGAAAATATATGGAATACATATCACATAATTTTGCATTCTGTAAAAACTTTTTTCAGGGTGAGATATCTCCTTACCCTTCACAGTGACCACATAGTCATCTTTCAAGATCATCTCAAATGTCACCCTGTGAGAATCCCTTTAAGTTTCCCATGTATATTCCTGTCATGTTACTTCCTCTTCACTTACTTTGCACTCCTCCCTATATTATGTAAAAAACCCATTATCCTGGATTATGATTCAATGTACTTACTTCTACTATGAAATAAGGTCCTCCAACATAATAGTAGGAACTATTTCAGTGTAAAGACACACGAAGAATTGGAAATCAAGAAGTGAGGCAGTGTAATATTTTCCCATTAAATAAGATTGTGGAAGTATGACAGAAGTTGAAAAAACTCAACTAACAATTTTGATTTCTAGTATTATAATCAGGGGTAGGCATTTAGCCAACCTGCTGAAAATGCCAGCCCATGTCCCACATCCGAGTGCCTGGGTTAGAGTCCTGGCTCTGGCTCTTGACTCTAGCTTCCTGCTAATGTACACCCTAGGAGGCAGCAGTGGGGGCTCAAGTAATTGGGTTCTTGCCGCCCATTTCTAGCCTTGGTCCATCCCTATCCCTGACTGTCAAAGGCATCTGGAGAGTGAACTAGCAATAGGAGTTCTTTAAAAAAGGGATGGGGCTGGCACTGTGGCTCAGCAGGTTAAAGCCCTGGCCTATAGTACGGAAATCATATATGGGCTCTAGTTCAAGTCCTGGCTGCTCCATTCCTATCCAGCTCCCTGCTGATGCACCTGGGAAAGCAGTGGACCTGTACCCACATGGGAGACCCAGGAGAAGCTCCTGGCTTTTGACTTTGGATCGGCCCAGCTCTAGCCATTGCAGTCACCTGGAGAGTGAACCAGCAGCTGGAAGACCTCTGTCTCACTGGCTCTACCTCTCTCTGTAATTCTGCCTTTCAAATACATAAAATAAATCTTATTTTTTTAAAATGAGAGAGAGAAATAAAATTACAGAGACTGCATTTTCTGAATACAAAATTCTGTACTTAAAAATTACTTTATTTATTTGAAAGGCAAATCATCTGTAGGTTCAGGCCAGGCAAAAGCCATTCTAGTCTCCTACAGGTGTGGCAGGAACCTAAGTACTTGGGCAATCTTTGGCTGCTTTCCCAGGCACATGTTTGGAAAACTGGGCTGGAAGTGGAGTAGATACTCTGATATGGGATGTCAGTGTAGGAGGTGGCAGCTTAACCTGATGCACCACAACATGGGCCCAATTCTATATTTTTAATTTTAGAAACTACATGCTTCACTGAGGAAGGAGAACTGAATATTGCTTAATATTACACTGATATCTCAAATACTTTTGTATTTTTTTAAATAAAAAAACATAAAAAATTATCAAACTAATAAAGAAGTTCTTTCCCAAATACAATGTTTCTCTTAATACATATATAACAAAAGTCACAGGGAATGTGCTTGGCCTAGTGGTTAAGATGCCAGCTGGGATGCCTTCATTGTCTGTCAGCGTGCTGGGATTTAAGTCCAGGCTCCACTCCTGATTCCAGCTTTCTGCCTATGCATGCTCAAGTACTTGGGTCCCTGCCACCCATAGGGGAAGACCTGGACTGAGTTCCAGTCTCTGGCCTGACCTAAACCTGGCTTTTGAAGGCATTTGGGGGAGTAAATCAGCACATGGGAAATCTGTGTCTCCCTCAAATAAAAAATAGATTTTAAAAAGTCATGAGTTTCATTCTTCTTTTCTCTCTGAATAGGCTCTCTTTAAGGTGTAGTCATAGGAAGTCTGGGGGCTATTTAAGTACATTCTCTAATTCAAGTAAATTATCAGTAATAAAACTTATATTTTGCTAACTACCTCCTTTATCCTTTTGGTCTCTAAATAGTTTCTGAATATAGGCTAGGAAAACAGTTGTTATATATTGGGCTCCCAGAAAAATCCCAAAGCATTTGATAAGTGTAGGTCAATAGAAGATATCCAAAACTGCTTTGCTATTACAATAAAATATAACCTCTTTAAGGCAGAATTCTACATAAGGTATTATTCACCCATGTTCCAGGGCAGCAGATCACTAACCTATGGTCAGTCATTAGGAACTAGCCATTTGTTTACCTTCTCTTAAGCCCATGTGGATTTAGGCATGACTTACTTGCTGACAATTTAAGCAGACTTCAAGCTATACTTAATCACTGAAGTTCAACTATAATAATTCCAAGCCTAAAGCTGCTAAGGATTGAATAATTTGGCAAACAGAGCTGTGTGGTAGAGAGTGGAAAAAATAATGGGGTAGTATCAATATTGTTTCTGTTACTAGTTCCTCTGTATACTTTGTAAGCTGACTGACCTCTGGACACCTCAGCTTCTCTTTTAAAGTTAATGTG